CCCAGCCCACATTCTTTATTCTTACATTTTCTCTTTTTTATTTATCTTGGCAGTATTCCACATCTGTACATAAAATTCCAAATGAACAGAATTTTATGGTATTTTTACCCTGATTTTCAATATATTTCAAGCTTACAAAAAAAGTTGCAAGTACAAACTATGTGTTTTTTTTTAAATTTTCTAGAACTATCTGAAAGTAAGTTGCTGATTTAATGTCCCTTCATGACCCCAGAATACTTTACAGTGTATTTTCTACAAACAACAACAAAAAAACTCAATACAATTTATTGGGAGTCGCCCAGGCTTCAAAGACTAACTTCCCCATCCCCCCAAGAAGAACCATCCAATGGTGAGCCCTGCTGGCTCACATGATCCTTACCCACCAATCAGACTAGCCCTGCTGGCTCACATGATTCTTACTCACTAATCAGACTAGTCCTGTAAAACCCTTCAACCATTAAATTGTCATAACTGTCAAACCACTCCCGTGGCTCTATAAATATGCAGAGCTGTTCCTCAATAAATGGGCATTTTCTCCAACAACAAGCCTTGTTCTTTCACAATTATCAAAATCAGAAAATTAACATTATACATTATTCCATCTAATGCTCAGATCCCTCCAAATGTTGCTAGTTGTTCTAGTAATGTTCTTTATATCAGGTGCAGCTCCTCAATCTTTTCTGACTTTTGTAGCATTAATACTCTGGAAGAYTACTGGTTAGACAATTTGTAGAATGAACCTGAATTTGGTTTATCTGTTGCTTTCTCATGATTAGTATCAGGTAATGCAKCTTTGGCAGAAATGTAACAGAACTGATGCTGTACTCTTCTAATTGCATCCTATCAGATGGCATAGAACGTTTAATACATCTTATTATGATGGTGTTCATGTTGGTCACATAAGTAACATAGAGACTGACAAAATTCACTATAAATTTACCTTTTTCCTATTTGTAATCAGTAAATATTTTGAGGGCAAGAATCTTTAAAAATATGTAAGTACCTTATTCCTTATCAATTTATTCATTGATTAAAATATATCACTATAGACTTAGGTTTTCTTGTTTTATTCAATGGCTTATAACCTGTTACCATCATTATTTATTTTGATACTAAAATTTTTTCAGATTGGGTAAGTAGTCAAGCTGGCTTTTATATATGCTCTTGATATGTTCCTATCATTCTTGGAGTACTTCCTTAGTTTCTGGCACAAGATGATTCAGGATCAACTTGTATTTTTCCTCCTCTATTGGTAGAATCAGCCACTTCTCTAAGGATCCTTCATTTCTTTTGGTGGAAAATGACACTCAGAAGCCAAGAGCTGGGCACAATGTGTGTCCATTATTATGGGTGCTTTTGCTACTAAGCCTTCTCACAGGAGAAACACACACGTGCATATGAAAATATACACTCATATATGCTTACATCTATATTTATATTTATTTATCTCATCTCCTCACCCCGGGGGATTGAATCCAAGGGTGTTTTATCACAGAACTACATAGCTAGTACTTAAAAAAAWTTTTTTAGAGATAGGATCTCATTAAATAGCTGAGGCTAGCCTCAGTTTTGCAATCCTCCTATCTTCATCTATCTTCAGCTTCCTGAGTTGCTGGGAGACAGGTGTGTGCCAGCACACCTGGTTTATATCTATCTGTACGTATCTCAAGCCGTAAAGTGTACTATTTCTTCTTCTAATCCAACACTGTGCATAGTTCATTTCTCTCTTTTCATACTTGTAATTTCCTTTTCTGACAGTGGGAAGTTGAACTCCCATTATCCTTAATATATTTATTTGATCAAGACCTCTAAATGCAAGCAATCTCGTAGTCACTGCTGTACCTTCCCTTGCATGGAAACCCTTCACAGGATCCAACAGACTGTATCTGGCTGATACTGCTTTCCTCCTTCATGTAAATGTCTTCCTCTTCTTACCTGTGTTCTGACAACTCTTTCCAGGCCTCCACCAACCCAAGCCTACCATGTACAGATGCCTACCTTGCTCTACTTGACCTTTYGGACTTCAGGCTTCCAGGAAGGGAGAGGAAGGGAAGAGAAAAGTTGTTCATAATTTATTTAACAGGCTTTTTAATTTACTTTTTAGGAAATATTTGCAAACTTCCATATTGTTTATTGGTGCATTATAATTGTATACAATGGTGGGATTCATTATTACATATTCATACACGCACACAGTATAACAATATAATTTGGACAATATAATTCCCCAGTATTTCCCATTTCTGTCTCCTTCTCCCTTTCACTTTTACTATTTTAAACAAAACTTCAATGAATAATAGTATCTATAAAAAATTGGTTAATGTTTAAGATAAATTCCTAGAAGTGAACTTTCTGGGTCAATGAATATGTAAATCTATAATGTTGGTTATGCTATATTGTTTTCTACGGAAGTTAACAATGTACGCAACTGCTAGCAACACATAATGGTAATTTCAATATATAGAAAGACCTTAAAGTTACATAATGACATTTGAGAAAATTAAGACAACTTTCTGTTTTGGAAATACATTTATTGTTAAAATCCAATTTCCTACTATTCAGTTCCTTGGTAACAAAAATGAAACAAAATTCAGCTATCACAAGCAAACTCAGAAACAAAACAATAACAAGTCAGGTCGGGTACAAAGTAAGCTTAAAAATCCCATAGAAACATAAATTGGGATATTATACTACATAGGAATCTGTGTAGTAGCTCTGCAATTTATAAGGCCAAAATGATAATCTGAAAAGGAGAAAAACACAAAACAGAAAGGAAGTATTTTTTCTGCCAATCTTGTTAATTAGATACTTGTCAGAAAATGGTTTTCCAGGTCTGGGGATGTGGCTCAAGTGGTAGCGCGCTGGCCTGGCATGSGTACAGTCCAGGTTCCATCCTCAGCACCACATACAAACAAAGATGTTGTGTCCGCCAAAAACTAAAAAATAAATATTAAAAAATTCTTTCTCTCTCTCACTCTCTCTCTAAAAAAAGAAAAATGCCGCAGGCCGGCTGCAGCAAAATAACCGGGGGGTGACGAATAACTTGTGCACGTTGATACAGCAGGAATAGGAGCCCTTTATTGTAGGACAACAGAGCTATTTATACATTTTGCACAGCTTATCTTAATTAGCATAAACTAGATACATCAGTCAACCAATAAGGAATCTCCACACTTAATGGCTCACTTTTGTTACTTCTCAAACCACTCCCTCTGACATTTTGCCAGGCACCATCCAGACTTGTTTAGGAACTCCAACATTCCTCTGGCAAAATACCAGGTGTTATTTTTGACTTATTTACAGACCTTAACAGAAAAAAAGAAAATGGTTTTCCATGCTACGACCTTAAATTTTTTACAGTCCACCAATGGTATCAATTTGAAGTAAAGCGGGTTGCCCAGCATTTCCCAGGTTTTAGCATTGAAGGTGCTGCATCCTGGAAACTCCTTCAGTTCCAAGCAGACTTGCACTTTGGCCATCCACTGCCCAGACCTGTACCCACCCAATACAGTCGCTACCAGTCAGATGTGGCTATTCACACTTTAATAAAATAGAAAATTCAGTTCTTCAGTCGTAGTAGCCACATTTCAAGGGCTCAACAGCTACACATGTCCAGTGGCAACTGAAGCTTACAGAAAATCACGTCCCCCAGGAAGGACATGGGCCCTGAGCAGGTACAATATCCCTTTTCTATAATCGTTCCTCCAGTTGCTCCAAGCCTCTCTCCCTGCAGCTTCCGAATTTTCTCCTGCTAAGGCCCAGTCAAAATTCTTCAGCCAAAATTCACCTGCTCGCCCAAAGTAGCTGTCTCTTCCTATAAAACACTATAAAACTCTGACCTTTGCTGCAGCCCCCCGCCATTTTCTACCCAAAACGCGCCCCTCTGATGCCTGATTGACTCCGTTCCTTAATAAAAGGCATTGCTGATCCGTCGAGGTCTGCTCCCGTTTTGATCATTTTTGCTCACAGTTATTCTAGATGTAGATTATTATTATTTCCATCACTTTAGAAAGTTTTACCCCGCAGCGCTCTCGTGGACAGTTGAAAGGTTGCAGAATAAAAAGCAGGCCACTAGTTCCAACACCAATAACAGCCAACAGATGTTATTGCCTTTTTCTAAAGAGGACGAAGAAAACCATTATGTTAACAAACAACGAAGTAAAAAACCCGTCGAAGCCCACTTACTAGCGGACTTTCCCTGGGAACTCAAGGGACAGTAACCCCGACGGTCCAGGCCGTCGGTCTGGCTAYGTGAAGACATTCCGCAGACTTCTAGAACACAGGGAACCCGCAAAGCAGCGGTCGTTTAAGGGTCAAGACCCGCAAGGTGGGACTTTTCAAAGAGCTGGAAGCCGGTGCTGAGAGCCTCGCGCGCTCTCAGCCCAGCGTCCGGCGCGCGCTCGACAGCGAAGCCTCCGCATCCGCGCGTCCCTGCGCGCGCGCCCCCTGAGCCTGAGGCCGTCGGCCGCCAATGGGGCGGGGCGCCGCGCACGGGGGCG